TTCTTTCCCATTCAATTTTCTTTTCTCCTCACCAGATTTTTGTCACTAGTACAAATTTAACAGTCCCCATTTTTATAAACAGGGACCTTCTCTTCTATGTTCTCATCACTTCCATTTCATTCTTACATCTCCAAGAACTTAGAGAGAGAAGGAGACGAGAAGAAGAAGAAAGATATAGGAAAACTTCAAGGTTTCGGTAAGGAGTATTTCTAGAGCTTGAAATTATGATTTGTAGGATTATGTTAAATGTCCAAATGAAGTAAATTTTACTTTGATAAAAATGTTATATAATCATATATACATTTGATGATTTGCATGTAATTTAAATGATATACCTTTTGTGATCAATTACTGAAATGTGAAAAGGAAATTAAGTATGAAATGGCATATCGGCTTGGGCAGTGCACCGTCGTGGGCTCAGGTGGCGCACCGTCGCAACCGGTGGAGGAGGCCCTCCTCCTTTGTTTTTCGTGCCAAACATCTTTTTCTTCTCTCTCTTCAATGATTTCTCCACTTGGCGCGAATCTGACAGTTTCAAAATTTTATAAATATCCCTTCCCACCCCATTCTTCCCCATACTTCTATTTGTCTATTTTTTGAAACTTAGAGAGAGAAAGAAAGAAAGAAAGAGAGTAATCTAGCAAGGAACGGTGAAGGAGAAAAGATCTAGGTTTCGGTAAAGAATTTAGTATTTCTTTCGATATCTTAAGGATATTTTTAGATAAAATAAACTTATTAAATATGATGATTGTGATTTTTCCTGCTTGTATGCCTTACAGTTCAAATAAGTTGAATTGTTCTTGTTTTCAAGTACGTTATGTGAATTATAGACACTTGATGATTTACATGTAAAAAAATATAATATGAAGTCGGTATTATTTCCTTGTAAAAATAAAGAAAAGAAATAAAAAGAAAAGAAAAAAGTGGAATGAAGCATGAATGGTCCCAAATACATATCTTTTATTGACATGCATATTGCATCAAGTGTCCCATTAGACTTTTTATCACTGAGGAGTATTTGTTCCCCTATCCCTTTAGGGTATCTATTTCTCCCTCCCCCATCTAGTCTGAAAAACGTAAGAGGATCACTCCCAGTGGATGATGACATACCCTCTAACAAGAGTGGTAATGCGAATATCTATTAGGGATCACCATTGGCTAAGTATTGTCGTGATTATAGATATCTGATAGAGCCACTATGGTTAGTACGGTCGTAGTCGTAGATTGTACCATGGTTTAGCCAACTGAAAATGGGCCTGAGCAAATTGACCTTTCTGTATCTAATCTGATCATTCTACTTGGGTAGTTGAAAATTTGTATCTGCCTTCAGAGATGGAAGTTGTAATGACTTTGCGAAGCATAATACAAAAATCTGAGCATTTATGATTTATTTTATTTTCTCTATTGTCTGGCATGACGTATATTTGGTTTGTTTATATTAATGTATACTATTTTCTTAATAAATAAATTATTTTCATAACGCAAGATCGGTTTACAAGGTGGCCAAATGGTAAGCTTTTAAGTAAAATAATTCACTTAAAAACCTTACGATGTTAATTTAACATTGCTTTTCTTACTGAGCATATGGAACTCAATCTTTCCATCTATTTCCCCCAGATGAGGAAGAAAATGAGGAACCGCAGGCTGACCTACCATTGGAAGTCTATGAGAATCCCGTGGATCCACAGAATTTAAGTGTATGATTGTTCCCGCACTCTGATGAGTCCAATAGCATAGTGAAAGAAGTGACAAAATAGAGAAAATAGAGAAAGAAAGCTAAAGAGAAAAAATAGAGAGAGAAAGATAGAGAGAGAGAGCTAGAAAGAAAGAGATAGAACCAAAAGAAACCAAGAAATCCTTTCCATCCAAATAGTAAGCCTTATTTTTTCTTGATTTCATTTTTTCACTAAGAATTCTAAGAACTCATTCTTAGGTTTTCACTTTTCATTTTATTTCAAAAATCCCTCCTAAAATCTACAAGTTGTCGAGCAACCTTGCTTCTATCTCAAATATGTAAACAACCTCGTTTTGGAAACTGAAAGCTTAGATTTTGGTAAGGGCTTTTGGTATTTTCACATACTCTTTTATTGTGTTTCCTAGATATTAAAACATTTAAAGATATCGAAATGTATGATTACTTGGTTGGTTTTAAAATGATATCGTGTTTAAGGATCGTATATCGCATGATGTTTATTTCACTTTCATACCCATGAATGGATCTTATTCGCATATTGAGTCTTAGATATGAAAGGATTTGTTTTATATGACACTCCATGTGTGCGGCTGGACCCTTGGCCTTGCTTTAAGGGCGACAGCTGAGAGGGTTACTCAATTGGGTTTAGACTTGAGAAGTTAACCTGTTGGTCCAATCCAAGTATATGGGCCCTTGTCGAGTTAGGATTAATTCCTGGGCCCCTACCAGATCTGAACCATAAATTTGATATTAGTTTCGAACTGATAAGAAAAATGAAAAGACTAAAAATCTATTTGACCGTTATCACTGAGGGGTTACCGATTATGATTGATATTGATTGTTGGTGAACCGCTCCCTGTTAATGGTACTAGCATTCCCTCTCATGAGAGTGGAATCGCAACTGATTGTAAAGATCACAATGGCGAAGTACAGTCGAGGTCATTAATTTTCAACTATTATTATATGGGCCACAATGGCGAAGTACGATCATGGTCATTAGTTTTTAATTGTTATACTGAATATTGAATTGAATTATTTTCCCATTTATAGTGGTAGTCAAGATCTTTTCTACCCTCTGCTAATATAAGTTAAACAGCTTCACACAAAGATCTATAAAAGCCGCAAATGAATTAAACTGTTTGATGGTATGACTAGAACTGTTGATTTATTTCCCATGCTTTGATAGTTTCCTTGAATTGAATATGTTTCTCACTTCTGTCATGACATTTCATGCTTTTAGTTGGTTCAACAGGTTTTATGTTACTCACTGTTTTGTCATGTCATACCATATTTAGTTGGTTCAACTAGTTCTATTGTATTTCGCACTGTTCCGTTATGTCATTGGTTCTATTATGTTTCACTATTCCGTCTTTGCTATTATTTTCGAGATTAGTAATTAAATGATTTAATTTAAAAGTAAATATATTCTTGGTATTTCAAATAAATATGTTCTTCGACAAGCTTAGAGGTAAGTCACTGATCAAGAAGGTAACAACATATTTTGAAAAGGATAGCTTTTGAAACTTTAGTAGTGTAGTTTAAATACTATTTTCTTTACTGAGTTTTATGGAACTCGCCCCAATCTATTTTCCCTCAAACGATGATGATAGTGAGGAATCGCTTCTCGAACTACTTTTTGAAGTTTGCTTGGATCCATTCACGAATTTGTAGTGGGCTTTTGAGTGCATTTGGATAACTACACTATGATGAACTTTTTGCAATGAAAGAAATGGCTCAAACAATATTATGTAAATTTTGGCAACCATCTTCTTGGTCTCAGGTGTCAATCATCCCCTTACAAAAAATTTGAGCATCAAATTTTTTGTAAGGGATGATTTTCTTCTGTTGCATAAATTATTTTGCACTCATATCTGTTATATTATTAGACTCTTTTACCCATCGAGTAACAAGATATCACAGTATTAATATACATTGATGACTAATAGACAAATATGCTATGTTTATTTATGTATGAAAGGAATCAAGTTGAACATATAATTTTTTTATATTTGTTATTTTTTATGTATAGGATTCTTCTTATTTGTTCATTTTTTATAATTTACAAGTAGTTCAATGTAACAATTTAAAATAAAAGAAAAAAATTAAATACTCAATTTTATATTTGGAATTAATATATTTTTCAAATTTATATACCTTAATAAATTTAATTATTTTTCAAATTTTATGTGGTATCAACCTTAGGCTCATAGCACATCAAGATATTGGTACACCCGACTAATGCCAAAATGAATCAGAACCTAAAATCAAGATATTAGCGGGTTGAAGAAAGACATCGTAAAATTTGCTTCAAAGTGTCTCACTTACCAATTGGTTAAGACCGAACACAACACACTACATGATTACTACACCCTTTACATGTATCTGGAAATAAAAATATATCATCATGGATTTTAAAGATAGATCTATCTAAGACAAAATCCTATCATTATGTCATATGGGTGACCATTGACAAACTAACAAAATCTTCCCATTTCCTAAGTGATCCACCGGATAAATTAGCTAAGGTATGTATCAAACAAATTGTGAGATTACATAAAATTTCAGTCCCAATCATGATAGACCGAGATCTCCATTTCACTTCCAAATTTTGAAGTAGTTTACAAAATGGTGTGGGAACCAAATTATCCTTTAATTAATACAACTTTTCTTCTTCAGACGAGCAACCAATTTGAAAAAACATCTAGATATCCCATGACATCGACACTTAAAAAGTTAACCCAAGTGAAAACAATTACGTATCTAATACCATGTGATAAATCCAATAACACTATTAGTGATAATAACAGACACGGATTAATAGTAATATTTTTTAAAAATAAAAAATTAAAAGAGCAAAAAATTACTATAAAAACCAATTTGAATATTTAAAAATAATTATAGAAACTAATTATATTTATATAATAATTATTTATCTAAATTGTTTAAATATAAATAAAATTTAATTTTTAATTAATTATAAAATATATACTCTAATTAATTTCTAAAATTATAACCCACATGTAACACAGATTTGTTATCAAACGTATCCCAATGTATCAAAAATTGAATTGACATTTTGTGTGGTACTCTGATAAATTAATTATGAAGGCGGTTACAAATAAGAGAGAAACATAAACCCAATGAATCATCCGGTCTTTTTCCTCAAAAATAAATCACCAGCTGTTAAGAATAAATGTTGTCCAAGAGACACATCCACCTCAGGCTGGTTTTCAATGCAATCTACCTTTATCTACCAAAGCAAAAATGAAGAGGATAGCAAGAACCGTTAGCCAGATGCGGCATATTCTGATGGTTAGAAGCCATTAGAGGAGAAATTTTAAAAATAATTATAAAAAAAAGGAACAAGGGAGAGGCTGGGGGGATTTGAAAGTGGCACAAACCTTTCCATTTCCAAGTTGAAACTCAGATTTCAAATTAGAATAATCCCTTGATAGCAAGTAGGTCTGCAAACCTTGTGCAAATTTTTCATTTCCTGCAACCACCCATATCTTTCAGCGAGAGAGAGAGAGAGAGAGAGAAAGACAGAGACAGAGAGAAAGACCTTAAGCACAGTTTTCTCATAAGAGAAGGCAACCTACCTGAATATAATGCAGCAATAGTCTCTGATTCAAACATCAAAGATGGCCTTACCAAATAGATTTTAAAAGTCAACTTTGATACAGCATGAAAACACTCTTCACAAATGATGACCTACACAGGAAATTCATTGATTTTTTGAAGCAACAGGAAGTGAAGAAAGTCAAAGCAATTTCAATGCACTTTATTCTTTGACAAGTAAACTTTAACTGTTCTATTTACAAGAAGAAGTCCATCAGGTAGCATATATCTCAATTGCAGAGTAGCTGGTCCCAGAAGACTATATTGCTGTAGTGCAGAAAAAAAAAAAAACATGCATTCATCATCATGGGATTCTTTGATGTTGTGAAGGTTCAATCCTCATTCAATTCCTAGTTAATTCCTGGTTCTAACATTCATGTTAGTCTTAATATGCATAAGAATTGAATTCCTTAAAGCCTCCAAGCAGCTCCCCAAGCAAAAAAGACATTTCTAGACTTCTTCCTCAGATCTGCTTTTAAGGGAAATTAGGCATCATATTAACTTTGTTGGTCAGTCCATCCTTCTATATTGCCCCCTCATCTCATTCTCAAAACAAACACCTTCCAATCATTCAGATTTTTCAATGATGCAGACATTCTAGAAAGATATCCACTTTTTCCCAGATCCCTACTCCCTCATCCCTGGAGAACCCTTGTCCATGACACCATACTGGACCAAGATGACCTTGTACCAAAAAAGCATCTTTCTCAATCATAAACCATAACAACAATTGTCAAAGAAGAGCTCTATCGAAGTTTTTGAGAGAAAGGAACGGCCAAATCTTGAAGGCCTTAAATGATACTTACTGCATGCTGTGGCATCAATGAAGAAGGAAGCAGTGGAGAACCAATTGCATCTCTGATGTAGTGCTCCTGCACATATCGAGCATAATTCAGCAATGATGCTTAAAAAAAGGCAGGATGCCAGCAACTAGTGAATGCCAACCAATAGATGCTTTGACGTATTAACCTACATCTTTTGAAGTTGTTAAAAGACTACATAATTTATGAAGACTGTTTTAACAACTTCCACACAGGAAATAACGCTTGCTCTGATAAGAACCACACAAAGGATGCAAATGATATACACTACTTGAACATCCACATAAACAAGGATACATACAATTTTGTCAGTACGTCTACATGCCCATGGCTAAAGCCATAAAGAGTCCTAATGCAGTTGGAAATTAATGTAAAAAGGAAAGTGTTTCTGCAAATTCGATTAAAACAATGGAAGGATATTATCAATCTAAAAAACATCCTGACCACCTATAATCCCTATATTAAAGATGATTTGAGCCAATGTTCACATTCAGCATTGAAAAAAGTAGCCAAAACCAAAATAACCTGAGTCAACCTTGGCTCAATCAAAAGGGCACAGTGATGCAGGACAAATAGGGTTGGTTTGTCCAATTAAGAATTTGGGGGAAAAAAACCTAAACATCACAGCTAAAGTTCTTAAACATTATACCTAAGAAGTTTTAAGCATCAGATTTAAGAGTTTGATTGCATCACACAAACAAAAAAATATGGAATTCTCAAAATATTTTTTTCAAAGAAAAATATTATTAAATAACTGATAGATCAATAAATGAAATTACGAGCTATTTATAATCATCTTTATCTAACTAGAATTAAACTAAGAAATAGTAATTTAATAGAATTAAGAATACTAATTTTAATACAAATAGAAAATAATAAATAAAAAAAATAAGCTCTCATATGACTCTTAGATAAGAAACTGAAAATACTCCAACAATCAATAAAATCTATCATGGGTATGCACCATCAATTTGCCCCATGGGGGGAAAAACTTGGGTCCATCAGTTGAAATCAGAGAATGTGGTATGCATGACAGAGTTTAACCTCTTGAGATCAGCTTCTGTTGTACAAGTGCAACTAATCTGAGGATGTCCTTTCACATTTTACAAGAAACATGTGATGACCACCATTCCTTATTGCTACCTTTTGACAATCAATAATATATTCAATCTTGTCCTTGATATTTGTAGCGTCTAGCAAGCAAATAAGAATACTATCATGAAAAACTGTAGGGTTACCTCCTTCATAGGAAGTTCGATCTTCAACATTGAAGACCTTATTTATACTCATCTTCAATTACGTCCTTGATATTTATAGTGTCTTGCAAGTGAATAGGAACACTATCACGAAAAACTGTAAAGTTACCTCCTTGATATGAAGTCTGATCTTCAACATTGAAGATCTTACTTATACTCAAATCTTCTGGAAAATCGATAACATAAGCATTTGAGTTAGTTTTGGGAATTTTATAAGGTCCAATGTTTTTGAATGAAGTTTCTTGTAGACACCTTTAGGAAACCTTCTTGATTTGAAGCATACCATAACCATATCTCCCTCATTAAAGTCAGCAAGTCTTCTTTTTAAATCAGCAAAAGCTTCATATCCTTTGTTACTTAAAGCAATTTGTCATCTAACCTCTGCATGCATGCAATTTATATGTTTAGCAAAGTCTTCTGCCTCAATTGTAGGACAAGCTTCTAGTGGCAAAGGAACCAAATCAATAGGTTTGCTTGGTTATATGCCCATAACGCATTCAAAAAGATTGATTCATGTGCTTAGATTCACTGAACTATCGGAAGAAATTTAGCAATGGGAAGAACAAGATCCCAATTGGTAACTTTATCGTGCAGACAATATTGAAGGAGGTTTCCCAAGCTCCTGTTGATAACTTAAGTTTGTCATCAGTTTGTGGATGAAAAAGTGTAGAATACTTGAATTGAGTGCAACATCTTCCACAAGATACGCCAAAAGTAACTTAAAAATCTCCTATCATGATCAGAAACATTGGATAGGGGTAGCCCATGTAAGCAAACTACTTCTTTGAAGAACAGTTTGGCCGTATAAAAAGCATGAAGGGTCTTTGCATACGGTATAAAATGAGTTACTTTACTAAATCGATCTACTACCACAAATATTGAATCATGGCTTCTACTTGTTTTTGGCAAACCAAGTACAAAAGTTCATGGTTATATCTGTCCATGGCTCATGCGGTACAGGCAATTGTATGTATGTACCAGTATTATGCTTCTTTCCTATGTAGATTTGACAAACACGACATTTAGCAACTATTCACCCTCCATCTCTTTTTATACTTGGCCAATAAGATCGATCTTCCACCATAGCAATTGTTTTATCTCTTTCAAAATGACTAGCCATACCTCCTGAATGTAATTTCAATACTGCTTCTACTCAGAGAGATGTGTTTAGTACATAAAGATGGGTTCCTTTAGGTAGCCATCATGCAATAAAAAATTAGGATCACATTTCCTGCCAACTAACTTTTGATAAATTATGCTGAATCCTTGCAGGATAGATAACTTGTTTTAACCAATTTAAATCCCACAACTTCGACAGCCATGAGGTAAGTATCAGCGACCTTATTCTCTACCCCATGCCTATGTTTGACTACAAAACTGTACTCTTGCAGTAAAGCTACCCATCTTGCATGATGATGGCTAATTCCTCTAAGAGTTAATATATTTAAGAGTCTCATGGTCCACGTAAAGTACAAACTTTTTTAGGAGTAAATAACAACACCAATGTTGAAGTGCTTGGATGATAGCATAATATCTTTTATCACATGTGGTATACCTCTGTATTGCTTCATTAAGCTTCTCACTAAAGTAGGCTATTGGATGTCCTTCTTGACTAAGTATGCCATTGATACCTACCTGAGACGCATCACAGGCCACTTTAAATACCTTGGAGAAGTGTAGATGTAACATTGGTGCCTCTATCAATATCTTCTTGATGATCTCAAAAGCTCTAGACACTGTTTCAATCTAAACAAATTTTCCATTCTTCATCCAGCTTGTAATAAATGTTATTGTAGTGCTAAAGCCTTCAATAAACCTTCTCTAAAAGGATCCAACCTGTGGAATCTTCGCACTTCATTAAGGTCTTGGGAGTTGGTTATTCTTGGATAATTTTAACCTTTTATGGATCAACTTTTACTCCTTTGGAAGAGACAGTTCCCAAGAACGCAACACTAGTTGTCATGAATGTGCATTTTTCAAGTTAGTATATAGTTTTTCTTGGTGAAGCACTATCATAACCTGTTATAAATAAAAGATGTGCTCCTCCTTAGGCTTACTGAAGATAAGAATATCATCAAAATAGACAATAAGAAATATTCTCTTAAAAACTTAAAAAACTTGATTTATGAAGTGCATGAAGGTATTTGGAGCATTAGACACTCCAAATAGCATATCTAACCACTCATACAAGCCATCTTTTGTTTTGAATGCTGTTTTCCATTTACCTCCTAGCATTACACAGATTTGCTGATATATGCTCTTCAAATCTATCTTGGGAAAGTATGCCTAGCATGTCATCTTAACAAGGTATCGGAAACCTATACTTGATCATAATCTTGTCGATTAGGCAACTATCAATGGATATCCTCTAGGTCCCATCTTTCTTGGGTGTGAGCAATGTTGGCACAGCACATGGGCTTTAAATTTTCTCGTATGAGCCCTTTAGACAGTAATTCATCAACTTTTCGTTTAAGCTCAGCATGTTTGCTTGATTCCTACAGAATGCTAGCAAGTTAGGCAATTGAGTCCTAGAAGTAAGTCAATTGCATGTTAAACGCTGCAAAATGGAGGAAGTCTATTCCGCAAGTCTAGTGGAATGATATCAAAAAATTCAAACAATAGCCTACTAACTTCTGGTGATGTTGTTTCTGTTAAATAAGTTACTGGCTCCTTTACCTCCCGATTCACTATAGTATAAACAATGTTCAATTCCCTGATTGCTGCTTCAAACTGCTTTTTAACAAAAAATGGAGTTGTTTCTTTTGATCCATGGTTGCAAATTTTGCAGTCATCTTCACTTTGATATTTTTAATACTTTTGTGCTCACGGATTCCAAGAAAATGTCTCTTTTTCCCATGGAAAAGGAAAATGTGTTTTCCCCTCCATTATGGTGTACATTGAGATCTATAACCGCAACCAAGGAGCACATGAGTTACTTGCATAGGAACACATCACATAAGACAGCATCTTTATACAAGACACGGTTACTTGCATGGGGAAGAGACAAGACGTTGTTGAGTTATTGGAATTGTTATGTCATCAATCCATGCTACCTTGTATGGTTGTAAATGTGGTTTTGTAGGAAGCTTGAGATGCTCTATAGATGAAGCTAACATTATATTCATGCAACTCCTCCCGTTCATGACAAGCTTTTTTACTTTTGGTCCACAAATTACAAGGTTTTGGAATATAGTATTACAACGTCAATCTTCTTCCTCAACTTTAGATGTTGCAAGAGAGACACAAGGGAAGTGTCCACTTGACAGTCGTCATCAACTAAATCATCATTGTCAAGGGAAACATCTTCATTCCTATCTGTTGTATTATCTTCTTCTTCATCTTCCTCCATTCCAATATGCAACGGTTTTTTTTTTTCTTAGGCATTCATAACCTATATGGTCTGATCTCCCACACCTGAAGCAAACTATTTCTTTGGATCTTGTACTAGAAACTAGTTTTTCTCGAGTTGTCATTCTTGTGCAGAACCTGTAAACATATCATAATTTGTTCCAGAGTTCATCTTAGGAGGTTTCAAATTTCCTTGAAGTTGGATATTTCAAGTAATCTTCTATGTTCAAGGCAGCATGATAAGTTTGTGCTATACTTGGAAGAAGTTATCAAATTAACTCACCTTTAATACCAACTCCTAGTCATGTCTCGAATGGAGATGTTGTGTGACTATCATCTTCGACTAATTGACTCCGAATTTTTAAGTTTTCAAACTTCTATATGTAGTCAATTACCGCGTCAAGTATCTCAAATTTAGCATTTAATTCAGTGTCAGTCATAATTGCTGATGCTAAATGTGTCTTAAAAAAGTCTAATTGGGTTAGGAAACAATTGCAGAAGCCAAAACACAATAGAATGGACAAGACTTACTTGCGGCTAGCCGGTAACTCAACTGGACGGTGGCAACTGTTTGACAGGGGGCTCACTTGAGGTGCTGAACTCAGATTTGAGGCTGGTGTACAACGCAACGGAGCAAAAGTGCAGATTCGGGAGAGGCAATAACAGCGGGAGCTTTCACCAGTGAGTGTGGCAGTTTCCAGTGGAGTTTCGAGGCGAGGCGACGAGAGTTAGTCAGTCGGGCCTTTCTGAAGCTGGCGGTTGCAGTGTCAACCACCTCCAGCAGGTGGTTGGTAAACGATGTTGGCGGTTATTTTAGGGTATTTGAATCTTTTTTTTCTTCAAATGGGTTTGAGACTGTTAGCGTAGAGCTTTGAGAATCTGGATGTAGGATATTTTTAGTTTTGATACCAAATTGATGTAGGATAAATATGGTTAATTTTATCCAATTAGGGATTTGGAGATAAACAAAACTTACACATCACACCTAAAATTCTTAAACATCACATCTGAAAAGTCTTAAACATCACACTTAAGGGTTTGATTATATCACACAACTAGAAAAACGAGAAATTCTCAAAATATTATTGACTAACTTAATAATCAATAAGTGAAATTAAGATATTTCTAAGAATCTTTTCTTAATTAAAATTAACAAAAAAAAGTAATCTAACATAATTAAAAATACTAATCCTAATACAAATAGAAAATAATACTACTAGAAAAAATAAATTCCTAACGGCGATAAGAATCTTAAATAATAAATTGAAAATACTCCAATAATAAATAAAATATTATCATGACTATGCGCCATCACACGAGATATTCTATAACACCCCACTCACCACCGTGCTAAATTCGTATTTTGAAAATCTTATTTATTCATAGCTTAAATCCACACTGAACTTAATTAATTTTATTTCGCATCTTTAAATTGTACTTCGTAACCGATTTTATTATTTTATTTTACTTATGATTTTATTTAATATTACCTAATTTTATTTTGGTTTATTATTTCATTATTGCTTTTTAAAAAATAAATGATTTTCCAGAGAAAACAGAAAAAGGGAAAAAAATTTCGCGGGAAAACACCTGCGAGAGAGGGATTGCCCGCGTGGGCGCTGTGCGCGCGCACACAAGCGCACAGTGTACACATCCATCTGCGCGAGGCGCAGTGCCAGACCTGCGCACGTGTCTTCTCGTGCCCATGTAGGCCGGTCCGCGCACGTCACGTTACGCGTGGGTAGGGCTGGCGCCGCACACTGTGCGTGCACCATCCGCCCAGTAGGCGTGCGCAGATAGGCTTGCGCGCGGGGCCCCAGCACGCCGTAGACCGTGCGCGGGCACAGGCTAGCTCCTGCGCGCAGCAGGGTAGCCCAACGCCTACAGGCTAGGCTTGCATTGCGCGCTGGGTAGGTGAGGCACACTGCCGCCTCGGGCTGTGTGTCGCTGCCAGTGGAGGAAAATTTTCCTCTGTTTTTTGCACCGCGTCAA